GCCTTGATAGGCCAGACCAAGCATTTGTGCTTTGGATGTGAGTTAATATTTACTGAAATTAGAAAATAGTAAGACACAGTGTTTTTTCTGTAGTATCCTCTGAAGCATTTGGCTCAAGTTGGATGGATCAGATATCTGATTTTCCTCTTCATTGGAGCTTTCTTTTTGGGATATGAACTCTCCCTTGAAACAGCAGGTTATTTTGATGGCTACTGAAATAGTTATTGTGCTTATCTCCCTTTTATTCACAGAAGGAAGAAATTATTGACCCAGAGAGGAATTTTTACTACCCCATGCATCTGGATATTGACTTAGAAAGGGACATGTGGGATGACATGGACTTTGATATTGATGAAGGTAGGCCCCATACTTGTCATTTGTGTGGGTACATTTTCTTTTATCAGTTTGGCAGCAGTGGAAATCCAGAAAGAAGTAGGATGAAATTATTCAAAGCATTAAAAGGATGGGCATAGCAGTACTAATGCTCACTGTTTGCTTTGTCTTCCATTGATGGCAGCCTCTGAGCTTCTCTTAGAACCTGGCCTTACTGTGGAGGTGGTAGATTTAGATATGTGGAGTTATGCTAGATGTTTGTTTACTTGTTTAAAGTATTTCTGTATTGCCTCCCAGACCACAAGGGCTACTGAGGTGATAAACAAATAAAACAAAACAATACAAAGATTAAAACATAATGTTTTAAAAATGTTATTTAAACACTCCTAAAACCAGTCTAAAACCAATCCTAGATTCTAGTTTTAAAACAGTTAACACAGCAATTTTAAACATAGAATGCCATGTAGAATAGCACTGTTTTGGCTACCTGCAGAAGCTTAAACGAGATTGGACCAGCCGAACTTCCGTGGATAGAGAGTGCCACAGTTGAGGCACTGCTACAGAGAAAGCTTGGTTAGATGTACCCACAATCTAACTTCATGAAGTGTTAACAACACAACAGGTTGTCCCCTAGATCTCAAATTTCTGGCAGGTTTATATGGCGGGGGGGGGGGGGGGGAGAGACTATCTTTCAGATATCCTGGCCCTAATTTGTTTAGGGCTCTGTAGGTCAGCACATACACATGAATATACATGCAGAATCCTTCCTTTGAGCACAGTGTTCTGTAGAAGTTGCTTCCCTGCTCATCCATAAGACATAAGAGCCTATATAAAAACTTAGGAGTCTCAAGACTCAAATTCTGCACAGAATCTGATGCATAGCAAGGGATAGATGATCTGTGCTGTGCTGATTTTTTAAATGTGACAATTTCAGAGTAAAGGACAGTCTTTCAAATGGCTGTGTTCCTAGCTCTGACTGTTGAATGGGCTTTTCTTGGCTTGTGTTGCAGGCAGGCTCTTTGGTACCAATCTTGCTGGGCTATTTTTAGTTTTGTTCTATGAATCTGGATTTGGTTTTGTGTTTTGTTGCCTCAAACTGATGCTGCTTCTCCTTGTACTTCCCTTTGTAGTGGAGGAGGGCCCTGTATTTGCCATGTGTATGGCAGGGGCAGGAGACCAGGCCACATTGGCCAAGTGGATTGTGGGCCTCCAGGAGACAAACCCAATTTTGTGTCAGATGCCGGTTGTGTTCCGCCTCACACCTGGGCCTCGGGAGCTACAATCAAGCCCTGACCCAGATGATAACAGTGAAGAGGAGATGGCACAAGATCAGCGCTTCAAACAGGAGTTTTGAGCATATGTTGATCATGTCTTAAGCTTAGATGGTGATATAATTTCATGACTGTGCTTTTAGTTCCAAGAGTCTTGTGCAATAATTCCTTGAACTGCCATAAGCTACTTGAGGTTCAGTCCTAAATGAGTGTGGATGCATCAAGGACATCGGTTTTCACAAACAAATCACTTCTTTTCTCAAATGCAGTACTTTGATACTGAATAACAGCCTTTTAAGCGAAATGCTCTGCATTATTTGACAATTATTTCTTATTATGACTGTCCTGACAGCTAAAAAAAATTAAGACTGAGCTGCAATTAGTGATTTTTGTCCTGTGGGTTTTTGCCTGAAAAGCTGGTAGATGCTGAAAAGCTGGAGAAATTTTGTGAAATGTTTCTGTGATATGCTGCTTTTGTTCTTACTTTGTAGAAGCAATGTTAAAGATGGGAAAGCGGGTCTTTGTATTATAATTTCTGACATAATAAATCTCAAGTGTCTTGTGTATTTGTGTGAAGTTAAGTTTCAAAAAAGAAAAAGAAGGCAGGCTTTGGACCATAAGCAAGCACAGAACTCTGAAAACTCATGAAATTATACTAATTAAAGGTACACAATTGTTAACATGTTTGAGCTTTATTTTGTGGCTGATAGATGGATCCCTGTTTCAAGGTGAACGACATTTAGAGCAAGTCTCTCAACTCAGATTTGCCCAGAGAATATTGATAAGTATTTGTGGGACGCTACTGACATTAGTGATCAAGCTGAAGTAAAATATAATCAAGAAAGAGCACTTGTAAGAATCATTTGTTCAATGTTGGGGAAAACACCTGCTTCCCAATCACACTAATATTTTACTTAAAAAAACAAAACCTTTTTCCATTGCTTTCCTTAGGAAGCTCTTGTTTCAGCCCCATAAATGTAAAATAAATGTCCAGAAACTAGAAATGCAAAACTGTTATTGAAAAAAGTAAACAGTTATAGCACTAAATAGGGAAGCTATGAATTATTACATTTATTGAAAAACATAGTCACGATAGTCTGGAAAATCAGTATGCAAAGGATCTTGCAGCATCTTTTGAGCCTAACTAAAAGATAGAAGTTGGTAGCATGAATTTTTGTAGACTTAGGGCTATTTCCTCAAAGGCATAGCATGGGGTAGAGTGGACAGTTCAGGAACATGCAGACTGCTATTTCTGCATAGCAGAATAGCAGACTGCTATTACACTGCAATGTAAGGGATGCAGTGGCTGAAGTAGTTAAGACACTGATTCTATTTATTGCAAGATCGGCAGGTTGGCAGTTCAAGGCCATTCTTAATCTCCTGATTTCCTGACTGCAGTCCCCATTTCTATCAATGTTTGATCCCAAGTATGGGAATTTTTTTACTATTTCTATTTCTTCATTGTCTAGGTTGAATGTGTGAAGGTCCTTGGTCATTATTTTTGTTTTCTTTATACTCAACAGCAAGCCTGCCTTAGCACTTTCTTCTTTGATCTTCCTTAGTAAGTGTTCCAGGTCTGTGAGGTTTTCTGCTAGTATTATGGTGTCATCTGCATATCTCAGATTGTTGCTGTTCCTCCTATTTTCACTCCTCCCTCTTCCATGTTCAAGCCTGCTTTCCTTACAATATGCTCTACATATAAGTTGAACTGATAAGGTGAAAGGATGCAGCCTTGTCTGACTCCTTTGCCAATTGGGAACCATTTTGTTTCTCCATCTTCTGTTCTGACAGTAGGCTCTTGTCCTGAGTACAGATTCCTCATTAGGACTATCAGATGTGTTGGTACTCCCATGTCTTTAAGGGCATTCCATATCCTTTCATGATCCATGCAGTTAAAGGCTTTGCTACAGTCTATGTGGGGGTATCCTAAAATTTTAATTACCACCCTTAAAAAGATTTGACAGAAAGTTTCTTTTGATTTGTAGTTGTTAACTTATCTCTATGTAGTCACCCTCCAGATTTACACATTTTTCTTAGTGTTTCTTGACCCTCCAAATACCGTTATTGTAGAAATCTGCAGATTGCGCCTTAAACCACTCTTCTACTTCATGAATGATGTCATCTCTGTTGTCAAATCAGCAACCCTGCAACAGATTTTTCATTTTTAGGAAAAAGCACTTGGTGGTGATGGCACTGACAAAATTTCATCAATATACCATAATAACTTCCAGGTGATAATTATTACTTTACAATACCCCCTCGTATAAAGCACATGCTGATTTTCTTTTGGAATTCCCTGGTGCACTCCATTGGCCACTGCACACATTATAACACTAGCTAACTTCCCAACCTAATGGGGGCTCTCTTGGCCGGTCTGTCTTTGGGCTTTCCATTCCACCAAATGCATCTGAGGAAGTCGGCTGAAGCCTACAAAAGCTCATGCTACCAACTTCTCTCTTTCAGTTAGTCTCAAAAGTGTTGCAAGATCCCTTTGCATATATTCATTTTTTATAACTATCAACAGGAAGAGCAAAAGTCATTTTTATTTTTATTGCTTTCTTCTTTTTGTTGTCCTCACTTTTTTTGTATTGTATTTTTATTTATTTATTTATTTTTGTAATTTTCATTGTATCTTTAAAAGAAGTAAGACAAAATATCCAGGGTAGTAAATTTAAAGCAATGCCTGTGTCAGTCTGTAAATCAGTATGCAGAGGGATCTTGTAGCACCTTTGAGACTGAGAGAAAGAAAGAAAAGTATGACCTTTCATATACTTGAGCCGACTTCCTCAGATGCATGGGGTCTGTCCATCCCTGGGCTTTCCACTCCATGTATCTCCATGTATCTGGGGGAAGTAGGCTGAAGTCTACGAAAGCTCATCCTACCAACTTCTTTCAACACCACCTAATTTTTTTCCTGCTGCAAAAGCATGGAGGCTTCTTGGGAAATTCAGTGTCCTCTGCCTAACCAAGGGGCCTGTGGCTTCACAAAGGATGAAGACATATTGGATTACAAAGGAGGTATATTTTGTGTTACAAATGGATGTTAAATTTCCTAGATTTTGGGAATCTCCCAGTAGCTACATGGCCAGGAGAGGAAGGGCCAGCCAGCAAGAGATATTCCTCTATACCACCTGAACCAAGAACAGAAACAGCAAAATGCAGGCCTATGACTAAACATCTTAAATTTTCCCTGTCCTGTATGATATTTAACACCTTTGCCTGATGAAGAAGAAGCCAGTGGAGCTCTGAAAGCTTGCAACATGTATAATATGAATTTTGGTTGGTCCAATAAAGGTATCACTGTTTTGTGGATTTTGAGTGTTATTGGACTTTTCTCTTTCACTTGTATCAAAGATGCTACAAGATCCTTTGGCATACAAAATATTCAGGGGTCTAGCCAGTGTGGCATAGTGGCTTGAGTGTTGGACTAGGGCTCTGGAAACCAGGGTTCGAATCCCAGATTGTCCATGTAAACCCACTAGGTGGCCTTGGACGAGTCACACTCTCTCAGCCTCAGAGGGAGGCCATGGCAAACCCCCTCTGAGCAAATCTTGCCAAGAAAATCCCATGATAGGGTCGCCTCAAGGTCGCCATCAGTCAGAAACCACTTGAAGGCATACAACAACAATTAATTTCTCTCTCTCTCTCTCTCTCTCACACACACACACACATATAGTCTCTCTCATCTCTATGGAATCTGTTCGCCTAGAGAGGCTTCTTAGGGAACCGTCGCAGGCGACCATGACCGCACCGGACCGTCGCGCTATGTGACGTCACCATCGTGCGCCGTCTCTCCTCGACGGAGGGTTCCCTGGTAACCGTGAGGGGATGAGCCGCTCGGAGCGCGGCGGTGGCGGCGGCGGGGAGCCCGAGGAGGAAGAAGAAGAGGAGGAGGAAGAGGAGGAGGAGGAGGAGGAAGAGGCCGTTGCTGCTGCCTCCGCCGTTGCTGCTGCTGCTGCTGCTGCTGCTGCCGCCGCCGCCTCCTCCTCCTCCTCAGCCGGGGACGTCGCCGGCGCCGGGGATCGTAAGGCCCGTGTAGGTCGGAAGGCCCGGGGGAGGCCGCGGCTGACGGAGTCGGACCGGGTCAGGCGTCGCCTGGAGTCCCGCAAGAAGTACGACGTGCGGCGGGTCTACCTGGGCGAGTCCCACGGGCCCTGGGTGGACCTCCGGCAGCGGAGCGGATGGAGCGACGCCAAGCTGGCCGCTTACCTGCTGGAGCTGGAGAGGGAGCAGCGGGCTGGGCGCCGAGGGTGAGGAAGGACCCCAGGGAGAGAGAGAGAGAGAGAGAGAGA